TGTCCCAACGTAACAAGGTTGACTGACAACAATGACTGTTTAATCCATATGATCTCACTTCAAAGTCACATCATTACCTGCCACTACCTGCCCTATATGATAGTAAGGTTTAATTGTTTCTTGAAAACCCCCCAAGAATGGGTACAGCATTATCAATGGAATCGTAAATTTCATAAAACTACGGAAGAAATACATAAAAAAACCCACCTCTGCTTGGTTGGACCATTCAGCCTCAATAAACTTCCGGAATCCTCCTTCATTATTTCTCACCATTTGTATCAACCATTCAAAACCTAGTGTTGAAACATAAAAATATAGCATGCCCAGCTTGAAGGATCGTTTGACTGTGGCTCAAATTCATTCCACTATCATTGCCAGTTCAACCACCAAGACAACAGAAGAATTTCAATGAGATAAGTATTTCGTCACCGAACAATAACTTTATAGTCTACTAATTTTTAGACACCGGACCTTTTACGTTTGGATGTGTATGAGAGTGAGTGACAAAACTCCCCCTTATGTATTCTGTATTTTGGTAGCTCATTACTTCATTTTCAAATAATACTGTTTCTTTCAGTCAGTACCCTTTTGTGCATGATACTGATTGTTTTAATTTAAGATAGGGTTGTTACCCAAACCTTCCCTCAAATATGCTTTCTGATTTCATCGGTTTTATTCTATGACACTTTTTTGGTTTCATAAATTCCTGATTCATCTAGCCTTTTATTTTACAACCTGTCATATTTATACCCCAATTGAACTGTTCACATTTAGTAGGTTGAAATATTGCTCATAAAGTGAAATATTTTCTTCGGTCGATAGAACATCCCCTTTTTTAACGAGCAGATGTTTTTTTATATTTCTCAGCGCTTTAGTTACTTGACGTCTTATGGTTTGGTCGTACAAAAATTTTTTACATATTGTTAACCATATAAGTCAAAAGACATGCTAATCAAATATTTCGTATATTTCGCTTATCTTACACTCGTGAACTTATATTTCTATCATTATCAATAAACCATTGCGTCCTGATGTATTAAAAATGAGTACGTAGCGGAGTATTTTATCCTCTATACATAATCTTTACCGATGCTAAACGTTCTGGATCCTACGGTAGATGCCTTATAAATTAGGCTATTCGGAAATCAACAAAATGTTGCTGAAGCTTGTCAATATTGCCAAAGCTTCTTGATGAGCCATCATGACTAATCACAAACAGAAAGGATCAGTTATTAGTATCGGTCGAGCTGGTAAGCTATGAGTACTTATCACTATTGCAATACGATAATAAACGTGTGCATTAGACAATGGATTAATAGAAATATGGGTTAACATCAGTAAAAATCAATCGACAAAGTTAAATTGAGTGTGAGAATCAATAACAGTCATCATTTCTTTATTCGATATCGCCAATATAGAATTATGGTTTAATTCGGTATCAGTACATCTATCTTTTTACTACAATAATAGATCTAATCCTAAAATTGTAGATTCGTCATAACGTGACTACCTAATCTATAAGATTTTACTCAAAAGTCACATCAGTCTCTACACTCACTCATCCTACGTGACAGTCAGCAATATGACGTATAGCACTTTCGATTAACACATTTGATCTAGAAAGAGAGTAATATATTCAACCTAAAGATTAGGAGGTCAAACAGAATGACCACACCTGCATGGTCGAGCGATGACACTTCGATCAATTGTTTCCGCGATCACCATTGTTGATCTTCTGGTGGTACATGCTGAATATAAATCTCGTCAGTAGGTATACACACAGCTTCAAAGGTTGTGTGGTTAGGAGTCAATATCACCACAGTATACCTAACTTTTAGCTTACTTCTAGAGATTGGCGGTTGGGCTTGGTAAAGTTTAGAAATGCTGAGATTATATCCTGGAGTTCCGCAGCTGTTAGCGGCAAAGTTCGTACCAAATTTAGGGAAGTGGTGTAACTTTATTTGCCTTCTGTGTAACTAGAAATTCCTTTCAGTACCAACTATATATTCATGACTCACTAAAACGTCCATTCCCACCATTGCCAGATCTAACTCGGCTACGATAAACACTTAGGGGAAGTGCCTCCTAAACCACACGTCGAGCGTCAAATTTTTCTGCACAAACGTCGCAATTTTAGCATTTTTGTCAGCTTTAAGTATTACTGGGGAATTTTTCGTTCCAGCCCAGCTTTTTCCTAAGAGTCATACTAAGTGGAAGGCCACCAAAATGGTCAAGTCTGAATTTCTGTCTCCAGCATGAAACAAGTAGCTGCTTAAGTACACCTCCTTGGTCACTGCGACCTGCTGATGGGTTATTCACCCACCATCTTCTTAGAAGCCCCTTTAGGCCATTCACATGGTTGACAGCACCTGGTTGATTTGACACTAAGCCTCCGGCGATACCAACAAAACTGTTCAGATAGTCCGTATGTTTGCGATCTACCCTGTGACTTGGATCTTGGTCGTTGTGGTGACCTGTTCCTCTTTGGCGACTGCTCCTGCGAGACTTTTAGCACTCGCGATCAGTTCTGCTTTGACCGGATCTTTTGATGGTTCTTCTTTTTGTGTATGATGTGTCATACGTGACACGGTTGGGGGACCGCTTCAAACTAGTCTGTTTGCAATACGCGCCAAGTGAGATAAATATGTGTCCGAGTCTTGAGCATCCAAACAGTGTTAGATGTGGCTTCAGTGAGCCTGTATCCATCCTTACTTTAGGACTGCTTCACCCACTGTTTTGTCACCTACTAAGATTAGAGGTGACGTGATAACTGTGATGGGGATCTACCACCTAATGTTTCTCCTCGGAAAAGCCTAAGGATTCGTCGGCAGTCTGATAACGATAGACGGTCCATTATCACTTGCTCTAAAATGGTGTATGGTTATGATGCTGGGAGAATCAAATCAAGTTGCGAACTTATTTGGCGACTGAAGGAGGGCGTATAGGGTAATAATCTCGGTATTCAATTCCATCAGGTTCAATACCGCGCCTCGGGATATAATACTGTAATTGAGCGGAACTAAACTTAGGGTCACTGCGAGCGAATTTCGAGAGTCAGACTTTCGTAGTCATAACAGTATCTTTCTCAACCGGTGACAAGTTACATTTATGCTTCTGACTTTTGGTTTGGATTAAGTCTAACATGTGGTATGTGACCATTATAGTCAAATAATACGAACGGGACAAGATAACGATTACAACATGAATACTTTGTGATAAAAGGCAATGTATTTAAATATATGTGTACAAAATTTATGATAAAGATAAACAGGTTTATTTTTATGATTAAGCGAGAAAGATAATAAGCGATGCAGAAGTCAGTTTTTGTGTTTAAAATAGGGTTCAACATGTTCATGCTGTTTGATACCTGTCGTTTTAGGGGCAGAAGAAACCATCTTAGTAGTGATTGGGTCTTTATTCAGATCGTGGAACAGAGCTTTTGAAGCGTGAGGTTGTCTTTTTTAAACAAACCAAGTTTTCAACATTCAACACAAAATAATAGGGAATATGATGCCTGTATAAAATATGGAAGTTAATAAATACGTGTGTCCTAACGTTTTGGTGCTACCAATGTGTTCGCGGCCAACTCTGCACCCATCAACTCCAGTTGTCACACAACTACCATGTCTTACACCTCTTCCAGAGCTTCTCCACCAAGTATGATTTAGTTGCTGCTTACTGTATAGATGTGGAGGCTTTCTGCTGTGGAAGACATTTTTACACTATTTTATCTTTGTCCAGGTTTGTTGCTGTGTAAGGATTCCGAATCATCACTCGTATTTTATGGCGTCGACGGAGATTATTGACTTGGAATATTTTGTATGAACTCAATAAACGATCATACTAAACCAAGATTTATCCAGTTATACCTAACTACTTTTCTTTTGTATTGGGCAAGAGGCTTTTTATGCATAAATTACTCTGTACTTTGTTGTAAAAAATGTGGAGAACCAGTGAAAATATGAAAATATCATAAATCAGTCGATTTTTAAGACCTATTAAAGGAATCGGGTCATTAAACACAAAAATAAACGTATGCAAAATATGAGTTACTTGTTATTGTCGAATGGGTGGGTGTTATAGGTCCAAATATATATTCATGATTGTGATAATGTGGAAACAATAATTCCCAGCAATATCAGATATAGATCAAGATATTTCGTGTGCGATTCAAAGGGAATAAGTTGAATGACTTGAGCTAACAAGTATGTAAGCAGACTATTAGAAAGCGATTTGTACTTACGAAGTCTCCCAGATGGCCGATGGGCATCAACAAGCAAACTCTATGCCGCGACTCTGTGCCCAATCAAACCAGATCATATTGTCAACTACCTTGCAGTACACATTAGCAAAGATAGTACAGGCAAATCATAACCAAATTCACTAAACAAAGGTTTAGTCAAAGACTGATAATTATCGGAATTCGGTTACGTGAGTCCTGGACGGTGTTGACATGAACGAAAAAGAGGAGTAATATTCGAAAGAAAATATTAAGACTAGATAAAACACGGGAGAATTTTCAAAACACTTTGTAACATTAAGTACTCTGGCCTTTTGATGGCATAATAAGTGGATCATTTTTTCCTTGATACCTGAGTATGGATGGTAGGAGAACCATTCAACAAATGGAAAGTCATAATTCTTCTTATGTTTATTCTGTAACTTATGGGCAAAACAAGTTAATACCTAACAATAGAAGTGATCATGGAGTAATGGCTAAGGCAATCACACTCACTACTCACAAAAGTAAAAAATACCAAGCCTTTTCCTGAGAGGCCCTGCGTAAGATGGTGTCACTTTCACTCCTGGTAAGGCGTTCCAGAGTTTGGTAACGCTTACTATGAAAATAGGAAACAATAAACGTGCTAACAAAAATAACATGAAGCAGAACAGCGAGAAAAATAAATTTTAAAAACTAAGGTAAGATATAGGAGTCAAACTGTTACGAGTGTTTTTAATCTTAACAGTAAAACTGCTTTGTTGTTTGTTTGCTTCACTAGGTTTGGGGGCACTCACTACAAATATTTTATATGACGGCGGGATGGATGTAGGTGATTTCGTTGTATTTGTCTTTCATGTACATGATTAAATTATCGTATTAATATTCTGCCTCATCTTCGAAAATAACATCATTATTAACCTTGTGGTGTCCCACTCGTTCAAAGTCTGTGTTTATCATTATAAGTTGATAACCCCAATCCTCAAAGTTGATTCATGATAAAGATTCAAATATCAAATTGCATTTTGTGCACCATCAACACAATTTCATTTATCGTTATCAAATACTTCGTAGATCTAAATGAGTGATTGCTGCCTGATTCCTTTCTAACCAGAGCAACACATTTCTCCATGTTTTAGTGATGCTTATTCTAGACAACGTTAATTACGGTACTGTAAATAGGATCCATTTTGTCGATCGGTCTTCGTCTAACACTTTAGTTTGAGTAATCTGAACGAGTCAGCTTGCTTACATTATCTTGCTCTGTTATGTCAACTCTTCAATCATTTATATCGGAAATTTACATCTGGTGAAGTGTTATATTGTTGTCTCACCGTATGTCATTGGGAGGTCTGATGTGGATGAAGCTTGATACGTTTCGTCATAAAATCCTTCAAAGACCATTACTATTGTTACGGCATTCGCATTTTGTGATCGAAAAATATAGTGGTCTTTCTGTGTGTCTAGTTACATAAGACTATTAATTAATCGTTCTTTGAATAATAGAGTAGTTATCCTCATGCACCAAATTAGCCCTCAGGTTTTAAGTTCCAATATAGTTTGGTTTGTTTATCCATCTAAAAGTAGTCACGAATTTTTGCGTTAAATTGCTTTTCTGTTTATTCCATTCTGATAGTCCACTTTTATTCCATACACAGGTACATTACAAGACGTATGCTGGCAGAAGTAGCCGTGATATCAGGTTTGATCAGCTGCTGCACACAAAACCCTTATCTGGCTCTTCATCCACAGCATTCTCTAAATCAAGTGTTAGTTCTAGAAAAAGGGTCAACGTCGTTTCTTTTGTACCCACTGGTGAAGGGCAAGAATTAGTAACTAAATCTCCTGACAAAATCGTGTCGGAAAATTCAGATAGCTCTGCCTGTGCAGGTGCAGTGCAGTCATTTTCACCCCATTCCTCTACTGAAAGTGTTACCACCGATTCACCCATCCTGTCATATTCCAGTGCACATAAAGAATGTCCTAGTCGTCCACCGAATATTAACATGACAGGCAACAACTCTTTTGGTCATCCTTCTGATTGTACATTAGATCTGCGTTCCGTTCGGAGTACAAATTACAAGCCTGATCATTGTCGATCAGACATTGCTTTAACTCCCTTGTCATCCCACACTCCTACTATACAACGCGTTTCATCCCCGATTTCCCACCGAAACGTCACCAATTACCATAGCCATCCAGTATGTATTTCAAAACCTGCTAGTCAGCCAAAATTGCAAGGGCTAGATAAAAGTCAAACCAGTTTGGTTGTGACCATACCAAACAGCTCCTTAAAAAACACAGGCATTCGTTGACATCTCCAACAATGGTCGTGAACGGAGTCTTCCTTACTCCTGCCCTACTTTTACGTTAGAACCTGAAATTGCTTCAGATGCCAGTGCTTCAAAATCGTCTTCGCGACCAATTCTCAGCGGTAAAAATAAAAGAGTAAGTGGCACTATCCTCTTTTGGAATGTTTACATAATCCTGGAAATGATTTTTGTTTTCATCCTCTTTAATCGATTTAATAACAAAGCTATCATCTGATCCATCTTGTAGCATACCTTGTAATATATATATATATATATATATATATATATATATATATATATATATATATATATATATTGACGAGTCTCACTTAGTTTACATCCATATTGTATTTGTAGGAATCAGTATTGCTACTTCGCCTAAGATTTACTAATTGCATTTCAATTGCATTTGCTATTTCCCGTGTGCAAATTGTATACCGTTACGTATATGTCTAAACTTGCGGCTGATGGACAATTGCTCTGAATATTTAACCACCTCTAAAAGCATGCGTCGCGACACAAATTGGTTGTATAATGCCAAACATTGTTCCACAAATTTTGATATAGTACACTTCTTTGACGTCATTGTGTTTTAAAAAGTTTGTATCGGCAGAATCAACTGTCATTTAAAGTTGTAACTTACAAATCCGAGTTCTGCTAAATCTTAATGAAGTAGGTGGACTGGGGTTCGAACTCGGGACTTGGTAGTTGAAAATCAAACCCCCTAACTACTGAACCACTGCCTCACAAAACCGTGGTTTCCGACTGGCGGAACAAGGTTAAGAGTGGTCAAACCAATATAAGCCTACAAGTCCATAAAGTTACAAATTGTTGGTCTAGGTTTTGTCAGTGTCGGTTTAAAGTCATATGAATGATATAGTCAGTAATTTAGAAATATGTGATAAAGTTTGACATTAATGATAAGGACAAATGTATTCATTCTTTACCTTTCGAAACTTCGCTCACCTCTATTTATTTGCTATCTTTTTGCCTTGTCTTGTTTTTTCCTGTCACAAAGTATTTTAGCTTGAATTGATGTAGTTTGGCTGAAGATTGTATCAGTCTATCCATTTGTTGAGAACATAGACTCCCTTTTTCATGACAGAGTAGGACGTGAAACAAATGCCTATTAGTCCAAGTTACCGCGTTTCACATCACAAAGTGAAATTAACAAGATTATAATCAAAGATATTAAAATATAAGTTGGTGTGGAAAACGACCTATGAAATGTATCCAGAGGGTTCCGAGTGTTGTTATAAAATGAATGAATCCAGGTATTTAAATGAATAATAATATACTAGGACTTCGACAACTAGATGTGCATCACTTCCGTGTTATAGGTAGCGCAAGTTTGTAAAAGTCAAGCGAGCTTTTTGAGTATGTTCTGATTTTTCTTTAGATATCAATCCAAATGGTTTGGTTAGACTCTCGATATATACGGCCTCGATCGCTTCTAAATGTTGACCAAGGATATATCCACATGGTTAAGGGAATGGACTATGACTATGATCAAAATATCGACCGAATTAGTAAACATTTAACTAATATAACCAGTAGCTACTGGATGTAAGCTATAATCCAGTGGTCCAAGTACCTGACATCCCACTATTAGGCCATAGGTTTGAACTTTGCTCCACTAAATTTGATTTAGACAACCAAACAGCCTTTCTAAGTAACTTCCGTAGCTAACTTCAGCGTTCCAGTAAGTAATCATTATGAATAGGATCACTACGACTAGGTAGTAGTAATCCTGTTAAATATTTTCCATGGAAAAAACAAATTCCAAGCTATGAGTACCACATATATAGTATGTTCCTCCTGCAAGACTTAATTTTTCTTAATTCCTCATGACAACTTGTGATGATGTATGCTTTTCAGTCAGTCAGCTACAACGTAGGACCAGGCACATATATGCATCGGTCCAAGTTGCCATACCGGATTAGCACAGCAAGATGAACACCGGATTCATAGGAGTGGTTAAGTCAATGGTGGTAATATATAAAAGAAAGATTGCATATAAGGATATAGTACAGGAAGAAAGAATTAGTTCGTAGAAAGAAAGATATGAAGTAATTTTAATCTCTTAGTTTAAGGGAGGACAGAGAGTGTATACACCTTCGCGAATGTCCGGCGCTTTAACCGGATCCCAAACCAATGGTGCACATGGGCTCCAGTATCCTGAAGGAATAAATGGTGTATGAACCAATCTTGGTCACCGGCTACCATGTGGCTGCATCTCCTCACGATGCTCCGCTGCCTTGTGGGTTGGATTTTTAGGTCAAAGGCTCGGAGTGTGGCCCCCTAAGAAAACCACCTGCTTCGGTCTGGGCACCCGGGCGGTATCACAGCCCACACACAAATATATGGATAATGAAAATGATGGTATTTACTGAGAACTCTATTCTCACTTCGATTTACAGTCAAACAATTCACATTATTACTATTATTATTATTATTATTATTATTATTATTATTATTATTATTATTATTATTTACTACGTCATTTATTCACTCTTTTTTTCCCACTTTATGTATCCTTACTTTTCGACTTATACAGCAGCTCGCCTATGGCGGAAACTCGGTTCTGTCTAAACGTTCTCAAGTCACTGCCTAGTTGAAAATTGTATGCTACCACCAAATACGAATACTGAAGCAGTTTTTCTGAAACCACGTGCACCATTCAAACTGGCTGCCTTCAACGTTCGCAGGTCGGACAACAGATAGGGCTGGCTATGTCTTTGGAAAGTCTTAATATCTGTTGTCTATCCGAGACCCGTATTCAAGACTCTGGCGAAGTACTACAAATTCGATCTCCATCTGTCGCTTCGAAAAGCTTGTTTTACGTGCGCTTATCCGGGGACCCTGTGGCATCTTCGTCTGGTCTTGCTGGCGTTGGTGTCGCACTAAGCGCTAGAGCTGAGGCAGCACTAGTCGATTGGATCCCCATTAACAGTCGGTTATGTGCTGTTAGATTAGAAAGTTCCATCAAAGTGAGAAGAAATCGGCGTGAGAAACGATGTCTTTTCGTCATCTCCGCCTATGCCCCGACAGATTGCAGCCCGGATGCAATCAAGGATGAGTTTTACCACCAGTTATCAGTTCTTCTCCAGAAAGTGCGTTCGACAGATATTGTAGTACTAGCCGGAGACTTGAATGCTCAGGTCGGGCGTCTAGGCACAGAAGAGAGTCGTTTAGGTGGCCGATGGGGACTCGTTGGTCGCAGGTCAGATAACGGGGACCGTCTACTGCAACTTTGCACAGACCACAACCTGTTTCTGGCTAGCACTAACTTTCGGCACAGTCATCGCCGATGTGCCACCTGGCGTCCTCCCTCTGCATCTCAAGCCTGGACTCAGATTGATCACATCGCGATCAGCTACCGCTGGCGTGGTTGTGTACAAGACTGCCGCTCCTTTTGGAGTACCTATCTGGACTCTGACCATGCCTTGGTCTGCGCCAATCTTGCCTTACTTTTCAGTGGACAACGAAGTGACCGCCATCAACGGATTGATGTTAGCAAGCTGGTTGCAACTTCTGTTGCAAGTAAGTATCGAACCGAGCTAGCCTCTAGGCTAGCTACCACTCCACCGAAAAGTATAGATGAGCATTGGTTGCAATTGCATGACGCCATGAAAATGGCGGGAACAGTCAGTTGTGGGTTTGCGAAACGTCCCGCTTTTAAGCACTGGGTTTCTTCTGGTTCCTTACAACTCATTGAAGCCCGTCGGTCTACTCCGGGTGACCGTGAGTTTGACCATAAACGAAGGATGTTACGTAAGGAAATTGGGCAAAGCTTGCGTAAGGACCGAGAAGCCTGGTGGTCGAAGCGTGCTAATGAGCTGGAAGCAGCAGCTGCATCTGGTAACTACCGGAAGCTCTTCCAACTCATCCGAGCCACTGGCAGCAAGAAGTCTGGTGTGAGTGAAACAATCTGCGAGGATGATGGGATGCCAATCACTAACATCCATCGACGTCTTGGACGATGGGCAGAATTTTTCGAAGGGCAGTTCAACTGGCCTGCTGCTCCGGCAACATCGGTCAGACTGTCCTGCCCTCCATGGCCGGTGACGACTGATCCACCAAATGAGGAGGAAGTCCGCAAGGAACTCCAACTCTTGAAGCGTTACAAATCACCTGGCCCAGATGACTTACCTCCGGCTCTTTTTAAAGATGGTGGTGACTTTTTGACTAAGGAATTGACGACGTTGTTTACAAAGGTTTGGGAACTAGAGAGTGTACCAACGTCATGGAATGAGTCGATAGTTGTCCCTATCTTTAAAAAGGGTTCACGTCGTTCCTGTAACAACTATCGGGGGATAAGTTTACTTCCGATTGCGTCCAAGCTATTGGCTTCCGTCACTTCGTAGGTTGTTCAAAACCCGAGAAAGATTGACTCGCGAGGAGCAGGCTGGGTTTCGTTCTGGTCGAGGATGTATTGATCATATCTTCACCCTCCGCCAAATGTTAGAACACCGCCATACTTTTCAAAGGCCAACAATCGTAGTGTTTCTTGACATCAGGGCTGCCTTCGATTCGTTGGACAGGACTGTTCTCTGGGATTGTCTATTGAAGAAGGGTGTGCCTGAGAAGTTTATTAACATCCTAAAAGCCCTATATAAAAACACCTCAGGCAGAGTGAGGGCATACAACCACCTCTCTCCATTGTTCCATTCGAGCAGTGGGGTTAGGCAGGGTTGCCCAATCTCACCATTCCTCTTCAACTTTGCCATCGATGACATTCTGGAAACAGCTCTGATGAATGTAAGTAATGGTGGTGTGGATCTGTTGCCTGGAGAAAGACTTCTCGACCTTGAGTATGCGGACGATATTGTCTTACTGTGCGATAATGCCCAAGGCATGCAATCCGCACTTAATCAGTTGGCAATCAGTGTCCGTAGGTATGGTATGTGCTTTGCACCTTCGAAGTGCAAAGTACTTCTACAAGACTGGCAGGATTCTAATCCTGTACTCACCCTGGATGGTGAGCAGATAGACGTAGTCGAGAAGTTCGTGTATCTGGGTAGCTGCATAAGTGCTGGTGGTGGTGTGAGTGATGAGATCAATGCACGAATAGTGAAAGCCAGAGCGGCTTATGCCAATCTGGGCCACCTTTGGCGCCTTCGTGATGTTAGTCTGGCTGTAAAAGGTCGGATCTACAACGCGTCGGTGAGAGCAGTTTTGCTCTATGCTTGTGAAACCTGGCCTCTCCGAGTTGAGGACGTTAGACGACTCTCTGTGTTCGATCATCGCTGTCTCCGAAGGATTGCTGACATTCAGTGGCAACACCATGTCAGTAATGCAGAGGTTCGGCATCGTGTGTTCGGGCACAGAGATGATAATTCAATTGGTGTCACCATCTTGAAACACCGACTTCGGTGGCTTGGACATGTTCTCCGAATGTCGTCCCAGAGAATTCCACGTCGTGCATTATTTGCCGACTCTGGGACTGGTTGGAAAAAGCGGAGAGGTGGTCAGTGCATGACATGGTGTCGTGGCATGAAAGAAAGCTGCAAAGGACTGGCTTGTGTTGGTCCTTCACGACTCCCTGGTTGGGGCCCGAGAGATGGTGCTACACAGTGGCTAGAGACGTTATTAGATATGGCTGAGAATAGAAGGCAGTGGCAATCCTGCTGTAACCTTCTTTTACATTCTTCATAAACAGTGGTTGTATCTTCCTTAACTGAAAGATTTCTTCTGGTTGTGCCTTTCCGTTTCCGCCATTATTATTATTACACTACCTTACACTAATCTGGTCGTTATTGTTCCTCTTCTTCTTTTTTTTCTCTTACGCTCCTTACCTTTTTCTCCCCATTCTGATTGTTTTTTTGTGGCGCATATATATTTGGTGTCCCCTTGTACCAATATTTGTGTTCAAATAAATAAAATAAATAAATACACCTACGCCATTGTGATCGGTTCTCAGCCATCTCACCAAGTCTCCAACCATTGGTTACGATAGTCACGCGGACCCAACCAAGTAGTCGGCATCCACCAACATGGCTCAGACTATAAGTTAATGTCTTCAAGCACTGATGCCACGTTTTGGTTTGGCCGCCCCTGACCTTCTTCCAACCATCCCGAACACCGGTTAGCATCGCATGTTGTTGTAATTGGTGTTTAGATATACGTAGCACATGGCCCAACCACCTCAGTGAATGAAGATCCACAACCTCATCAACTGATTTACCATCATTCAATAGTACCCTGTGTCTAAGATGTGTGCTTTTACTCGATTCTGCATTGTTTATAATTAACTGGCTGACGATGCCAATGTGAAGTGCGATGATCTCAGCCAATATACTTTTGTATCGTCTTAAATTATGTAAATTCATAATATAGGTGTAGCTACGCACATTTTCTGCAAGAACTAAATTCGCATCGTATTTAGAATTGTTTATATTTAGCATACATCTAATCAAATTTTGTTAGCGATTGAATAAAATTTTAAAACCTGTGTTCTTTTTAAATTTATTTTATCAGGCAGCCTACAATCCACGTTCTTGGCAGAAAGAAATTGAAACAGACGATAGTTCTCCAACGAAGCTGGTAGGTTTCATTTCCACCGATTAAAATTTGTTTGCATACCTACGAAATTCACATTCCGAATTATTTGTGGTGTTTAACTTCAAATGATACGTGCTGGAATAAAGAACGAATATACAGGCAGTCAGCCTTGATTACTACGAGTCATATGAAAGGTGCATCATTGAATCAGTGGTTTTGAAAAAGCAAAACTCCTTTAGAAGAAATAATTGATAATATCACTCTTTAGTAATAAGGATATTAGGTTGTCTAACGTGTATTAATCATTTCACCTCGTTTTCCACTGACGATCCAGCTTCTCGTTAAGTGTTGATTAATAGGGCTGATACCACTTGTTCGGGTAGTGCGTTCTAGTTACTGAACACTAGATGAGAAAAACGGAATCTCATTCTAAGCTTATTTGATTCCGGTTTTAGGACGTTCTTGCTGTGGCCTCGGGAATGATTAGTTCTAAAGAGAGCAAAAAGACAAAACGTTAACATCCAAATCATTATTTAAGATACCCGATGCCAATATAAGCTCACCTCACATCCTGCAATAGGATAAGAGGGAAAGGTTTAAGTTTAGAAAAACCCTTAACTAATTTGGTTCCCACATGTTGAAGACTCTTGAGTGTGTTGATATCCCCACTAATCATATGGACTAGCTGCTTGGATGCAGTACTGTCAAGTCTCAGGTGAGCTATAAAACCTGAAACATGTCAATGCGTTTGAATGCTCGGCGAGGTGATCATGACATTCGAAGACTTTTGGTAGCTTTCGGGTTGCAATACTCACTTGTGACTTAATATTTTGAAAATCGTGTTCAAGGCCTTCAACTGTGTTGCTATCGTTCGCTAACCACTAACTAACGGAAGCTTTTTTCCAGTATCCCTTTTGTTTTGACTCAAATCAATCCATCCATTCATGCTGTCTAATTTGTCTTTTGAGTGTTGCTATCCTCACATTGCACAGTTGCATCACATCATCAGGAGCGTTTAGAGTAAGTGCACTTTCTTTAGGTGGTAATTTCTTTCTCTTGACGATGAAAGACTTATTACGATTACTTTGAACAATATTCTGGACAGGGTTTCTTTTTTCTTTGAAAATGTTGACAATGGAAGTCTCAGCTTTTCGATCAAGGTTATGAACTGAGTTGACAGCACTAGCTATTACACTCGTAATTTCTGCATGTGATGTCAGAATCACTGGCCGAGTATCATCACTTGGCACCTTGTCTATCAGAGTGAGAGATTCCGAGACTTCATTTAGGAGAATCAATTTATTCATACAGCATTCTTTACACAACCAGAGTGAAGCCGGTTTGGAGCTATATTTATGCGCGGCCGGCAATAGATTGATGTACATTTTGTGGAACCATCTCTTACAGCTGTCACACTGCATGTCATCAACAGGAAAGAAACAATGTCCGACCACATCAATGAATTTGAATGACCATTTCAACCAATATCGTGTGCATAAAAGGAAGTAAATTTTTTTTAAAAATAACTGGTCACAAAAGGTAGAAGAATGATAATGTTACTACGGTGACTGCAAAATTATGTAAAAACGGTAACTAACTAGTGATAGTTAAAGCAACAAAATGTTAAAATGGTAAGCAAACCTAGCTCTAGGATAAAAAAAGACTGGGAAGCGGTAAACATGAATACACAGATGCTCATCATTGAAAAATAACTTTAACTAATGTAATTTAAAGTAGAAAGTACATGGGAAAGTATTTCACAAACTCAAACATCATCAAAAGAGTTAAATATAAGTTTAAATCTCGGCTATAATACAACAGAGATCTAGTATTTCAAAGCCCCCAAATGCCCTGGTACGGCCGCGAAAGAGGGGAGAGACCGCTCTCTCTCTCTCTCTCTCTCTCGAAATGCTCTCACATGGCCACGCGTATATAGCCTCTGTCAGGGAAGTCCTACTCACTGCCTTCTCGTGGCGAGAGTGTTGTTTACGAAAATGAGAGGACGAAAAGCGAATGTCCGGCGCTTTAACCGGATTCCAAACCAATGGTGCACATGGGCTGCAGTATCCCGAAGGAACAAAGGGCGTATGAACCGATTGTTGGTCACCGGCTTCCATGGGACTGCATCTCCTTACGATGCTCCACTGCCATGTGGATCAGACCTTCAGGTCGAAGGCTCAGGGAGTGGCCCCCTAAGAAAACCACCTGCCTCGGCTTGGGCACCCGGGCAGTATCACAGCCCTCACACATATCAAATGAAATCTGTGTGACGCATATGTATTTGGTGCCTTCTTGTACCAATATCTATGTGTTAAAATAAATTTTAAACAATTTCAAAAAAGTATGAAAATTCACTTCCTTTTCTCAAATCGCGCACATTCACCTAGGTTCGTAATAGATGTCGTGTTTACCCTGTAAAGAATGATCCCTTTTAGCGTTTCTCTTATAATAATTCCAAAAAGATCATTTTATGCTTCTAAAGCGGTCTTAATGGAACAGTATGATTATATTTGTAGTTTTAAAAAAATTTCTTGTTGTTATGCTTACTATGAATGAGTTTTCTTTATCAACGGTATGATTTATGTATAAATTCTCTATCGCTTTTTTTTCTTGTTTTAGCAAAAAGTCAATGAATCCTCTCCGTGTTCACAAAATCAAAGTCAATCAGCAATTGAATCACATCATTTTTCTGCTAAAGATACTTCATCTTTAGTTAATCAAGAAGATTGTAACATGAAAATTCATAAAAATAATATTGACAATTTTGCATTTGATGAATATGAAGAAGAAATGAAGAATAATTTTGATGCTTTACATCCATACAAATATTCAATCAATGATAATCATCCTGTAAAATATTATGATAAACTAGTTGAAGAGGATGAAGACTTAGAAGATGATGTTAAACCTTGGTTCCGTCCTGCTTCTCGTGATGTATCTAGTAAAAAGCTATCCAACAGTACGAAGAATATAAAAGTTAGCCGAACAGACAAGCCCGTAAGTATTCTTCTCTGGAATAAATACTATCAAAAACTAATCTCATTTTTCTGATGTTACATTTATCTGTCGCTGTGTATTGTTTTAATGTTGATTCAGTTATATAGACTTTATGTGGTAACCCCTTTTGTTGTAGTTGAGTACTAATATGTACCTCGACTACCAGTATCAGTAAGTTGCACTAATTAAAAAGATCAACTGACGGGCACCCCACCGAAAATTGCGAAAATGCTATAGTATGTTTAGTATATAGTGGTTCATAAAATGACGCTACAAATAACCACTTGATCTGGTTAATTCATATCATTTATTGTTGTCGAAAACCAGTTTTCTAGTTTATTTATTCAGTATACATAAAACCAGGTCGTTCTATGAATAGTTGCGACTAGTTAGTCGTATTCCACATCATTTTCTATCCCTATTCACACTTGAAAATGATAGTTCAATGGTTTTCAACTTTTGGCCAATTAGTTACATGTTTGAGCCTCACCCTATCCGTGTCGGCCTGGCCAACTAAAAATTATTACTAGCCCTTACATTTAGAGGGATCAAAGCCAGGTACCTGGTTGTTGAGTTAATAATAATAACTTAATGTTTTATTCACTTGATGATTGGTTAACAGTGATATAAAGTATATCAACTATTGAATGATGCATAACGACAATGTTACAAAACATTGAACATGCAGCAAATTTTTGTTATTTAAGTATCTCAGTGTGCATTATAACGAAATTTGTTCATGTCCAGAATAAAACTTTGTTCATTTATCAAACGTTAGAATAAAAATGTAATTAGTTTTCTTTTAAATATTGATTAAAATACTTCAATACTTTTGTATTTCTACTTATATTTATTTTATAGTTGTATACTGTACTACACAAGGTGAAAGAAGCACATGTTTGTCAAGAACAAGGTGAAACTCAGCATTTATTAGATGATGTAGAATATTTAGTAGATGGTCTAACAGATCGTAATCAAGTTAATACTCGTGCACTTAGGTTAGTTGTTTTTCATTTCTGTTTGTATATAATATAATCACAATTGATTGATTACTGGATGGTGATCAATGTTATGTGTGTCAAGTCCTTCTTAGTGCAGATCGAATTCTATCGACCAAATTGCAATGTGGCTACTAGTCTATGTGACTCAACATTGCGTGCACTATGTTGGAAGTAGCCAACAGAAAACCCTGGATCTGGGTTTCGTGCTACTTGGCACTCGTCAGCAGGCGTATCTGTAATCTTGAGGGAGCTGGTGCCCCCTGACGGACTCGATCTCGTGTCACCCAGCTTCACAGTCAGAGATGTTACCATTGGGCTATCTGGGCCGCGACCGACCTCCTGTAAGACTGAGATGTAATCACAATTGAAGTGATTTATAATGTTTACAACGTTTTAATATCGTAGTTTACGAGATGAGTTCGATTGTTTTATACATTTTCATTGATACTATATTTTTAATAGTTATGAATGTTCATGTACTGGACAATGATTGGAATTTATTTTTCTGAATTTTGTTGTTGTTGTTTCCTAAAACTATTGATTCAACTAATTTCGTTTCTACATTAATCACTTTTACTACAAACTGGTATTATTTCAAATGTTTATTTCAATTTGCGCGATTTCTTTTATTATGTTATATACACTCTACTGTCTAGTATTTATTGAACATTATACTTCACTTATATTTATTTATTTGAACGCATAAACATTGGTTCAAGGGGGCACTTAATACATATGCGCCACATAGTAACAATGAGGCCAGTAGCAGTTATCATTGATTTGTGTGAGGGTTATGATACTGCCTGGGTGCCCAAACCGAAGCACGTTGTTTTCTTAAGGGGTCACTCCCCGAGGCATTGGCCTAAAGGTCTCATGGTCGCCGGTGACCAACAATAGATTTACACGCCATTTGCTTCCTTTGATTCTGGAGCCCACGTGCACCGCTGGTTTGGAATGAGGGTTTCCCAACTCTCTTAGGTGGACCCTCCGTGTCCACCAACCCGGTTAGAGTGCCGGACATTCGCTTTTCGTCGTCTCAGTTTTGTGAACAACATCCCGTCTTCAGGAGAAGGCATTGAGTCGAACTCCCTTGACAGTGACTGTATATGCGTGGCCATGTGAAAGTATTTCGAGAGGGAAAACTGACTCTCACCACTCTCGGCCGTACTAGGGCATTTGGGGGCACTTCACTCGAATCTTTCCAAATCAGAACTATACGTAAGAGTGTTTGTGTTATTCTAATACCTTTGAATAAGTGGGAATTTACAAAAATACCACCAGATAAGAGTCCATAAAAAACTTTCCTGTAAAGCGGAATTTTTAAGTATATGGCGAATGAGAAGTAAATTCCAATTACCACTTTTTAAAAGTCTCTATATTCCCGTTTTTGATCAGTCTCTGTTGGCATATTCATATGCTGCATCTACAATAGTTACATTGGTTTAAGTTTCAGCTTTAACGACGGAAATACTGGTGTATCCAGCTAAACTGTTTCAAATAGGTTAAACATGAATTCCGGCTTCTACTCATTACTACATTCTAATAAATCCCAATTATTTAGACATTTATGTACTTAACATTGCACCTATTAGTTTTACATCATTTGTTGCGTTAAATGTCGTTATTTAAAGTGATCTTCGTTATAATAGGTTTATATGGATAAAAATTCATTGTTATTGGTTTGTGAATAAATTCCCGCTGAGTTCTACGAAGATTACTTTGATTAAATTGGTATATATATATAATGAAAAGGAAGTAATCATAGTTTTTGCTATGTGGTTATTTGTGGGAACGGCTCCCGGTGAACTCAAGGAACCTCTAAGAAGCTCCGAAAGAGGCAAACACCTCCAATCATCGTTTGAAAGGGCATCCCAGGATCTCGACGTGTAGCTCCCGATTGGACAAATGCTGAAAACCACTGCATGCGGATTGGATGAATGTAATGATGATATCGGTTTTACTAAATCTATAAATATCCAAGTTCTTTGTACCGTATTGTACTGGTTGGAATAAAATCTCTTTCCACTTGTCTTCCCTCATCTAACTTGCGACTTGAAGGGTTCAAGCGTCCGAATCCTCAAGTTCTACGTGGTATAGCAAAATAATTCAAGTTCTAGATATAACAACATTATCTTCTCTTCGTCCATGGGTTCAAGTGGTTGGATTTGACCATATGCTAAATCATGCCCACTTAAATGTTTACATATCCCGAACGACTGTTCGTAGTTTCTTGTGATTTATTGATTAAACATTAATAATGGTCGTTTTGCTTCATATGTTGTTTTTTTTTTCTTTTTCGCAATATAAGCGTCCTGACTCTAGCTAACAAGTGTTTGACTGCATCCTTCCGTTATACTCTCAATGCTCATGGTTTGTTGAAGCGAATTTGTGCAAAACTCCATGACGCTTACACAGACTATGTAAGTATAGTTTTATGTTTAAAAAAATATATTCTTAAAAGTTCTATTTTGATTATGGTATATTTGTTTTGAAATACAAGTGTATGCCCAATGTCCCTTACAATCAATGAACTAAGCACCGTTGAAATAAAATGAATAGGTTGTAAACTTTTTAGTTTAAATACCTGTACGACTCATTTTCGTCTCTTCAAGTTCAGCCACGTTTATATATCGGTATTTCATTTTATATACCTTTAGAGAAGAAATTGTAAACATAGACTTCACCGATCATTTATTTTATTTTTCATTATCATAGAACTCATTTATTAAACATGCCTTTCAACTGTTAATCGTGCTGCATAACCTAAACCACGAAGAACTATGTTCCCAGTTTCAGATAGGGTAATTATTTATTGTCCGTCTCGTGTTAACAATTTTATTGTAACTATTTGTCAACCTAAAATGAAATTAATATCTAATTAAATAAGGATTGTTAAACCACTGAAACAGATTGTTAACATTTCAGTTTATTTATTTATTTGGACACATAAATATTGGTACAAAAGGGCACTGAATACATATGTGCCACACAAATCACTTGATTTGTATGTGGGCTATGATACTGCCCGGGTGCCCAAACCGAAGCAGGTGGTTTCTTAGGGGGCCACTCCACGAGACTTTGACCTACAGGTCTAATTCACAAGACAATGGAGCAACGCTAAGAGATACAGTCTCATGGTCGCTGGTGACCCACAATTTGTTCATATCCCACTTGTTTTCTTAGGATCCTGGAGTCAATGTGAACCATTGGTTTGGAATGAGGGTTTTCCAACTCCCCTAGATGGATCCTTCGTATCCACCGATCCGGTTAAGGCTCTGGATATTCGCTTTTCGTCGTCGCAAGAAGGCAGTGAGTAGGACTTCCCTGATAGTGGCTGTTTATGCATGACCATGTGAGAGCATTTGGAGAGGAAGAGCTGACTTTCCCCTCCCTCGGCCGTACCAGGGCGTTTGGGGGCAATTGATTTAATCTAAGAGAGACATAATCCAATAAAATTCGATAATATTGATTGTTTAAAAGTGATTAAATACTGTATTCACTAATCTAGAAGAATAAACTATACTGCACAAGTATACTTTCAGGAACTTCTAATCATCATTAACTACGACTTGATTCAATGTGATATAATCAACTTTTTCCATCGCTAAAATGTTACTTCATTCTAGGTGCTATCACTCTCACATGAGAATAATTACAAAATTACTTACATTTAAAAATAACTTGTTAATTTGGTTCTGGTATTTCTATTCTGGTTATCGGGTTCGCCAGAATTAAAAAATCACCAATGTATTGTCATATAGTTTGTTTCTCTTCGTTATTTCATAACTACCTAAAACGAAAGTCCAAGGATGGTAATTGATTTCAACGTCATGATGTTTTATACCCCATACTGTTATATCTTGAGTATCCGCTGACCAATATAACATGTCAGGTTACTAATCACAATGCTGATTCTAATTTTCTCTATTTTGCGTCTATTATTTACTGTGCATCTTGATATCCCTGACTTTGTCATTTACATGCCCGACTAGCACTATTGATTTTGAACCGACAGCTAAGTCCCTATCGGCCATTATTATCCAGCTCCTCATCATCCCTTGCCTTGAGTCCCGAAATAACAACTAACCTCTACTGTGAGAGCACTTCTGCTCTATGCTTGTGAAACCTGGCCTCCTCGAGTTGAGGACGTTAGACGACTCTCTGTGTTCGATCATCGTTGTCTCCGAAGGATTGCTGACATCCAGTGGCACCACCATGTCAGTAATGCAGAGGTTCGGCATCGTGTGTTCGGGCACAGAGACGATAATTCAATTGCTGTCACTATCTTGAAACACCAACTTCGGTGGCTTGAACATGTTCTACGAATATTTTCCCAGAGAATTCCACGTCGGGCATTATTTGCCGACTCTGGGACTGGTTGGAAAAAGCGGAGATGTGGTCAATATATGACATGGTGTCGTGGCATGAAAGAAAGCTGCAAAGGACTGGCTTGTGTTGGTCCTTCACGACTCCCTGGTTGGGGCCCGAGAGATGGTGCTACACAGTGGCTAGAGACGTTATCAGATATGGCTGAGAATAGAAGGCAGTGGCAATCCTGCTGTAACCTTCTTTTACTTTCTTCATAAAAGGTGATTGTGACTTCCTTAACTGAAAGATTTCTTCTGGTTGTGCCTTTCCGTTTCCCCCATTATTACCACTATTATTATTACACTACCTTACACCAATCTCTTCCTTATTGTTCTTTTTTTCTTTTCTTTAAATTCTCATTGTTTTGTGTGGCGCATATATATTTGGCGCACTCTTGTACCAATATTTATGTGTTCAAATAAATAAATAAATAATAACTGTATTTGCACTGCAAACATGTGGTTTATATACAGACATATCAGACATCACAACATACATGAACAAATCAAAGTGGCTGTAAACAGTTGCTCAATGATTATACAACAAAATTATAATGAATAATAATTCAGTAAATGCGTCTCAACGTTTGCAATAGACGTTTCGTTATAACACATACTAATCCTACCATTACTGTAAATTTTATTCCAATTAAATCGCACTTGTTTCAAGACCTCTTTATGCCTTCTATTATGACTTAATTATACATTCATTTACAGAAGGAGCCTCCAAATGCTCTGGTACGGCCGAGGGAGGGGAAAGTCAGCTCTTCCTCTCCAAATGCTCTCACATGGTCATGCATAAACAGCCACTATCAGGGAAGTCCTACTCACTGCCTTCTTGCGACGACGAAAAGCGAATATCCAGAGCCTTAACCGGATCGGTGGATACGAAGGATCCATCTAGGGGAGTTGGAAAACCCTCATTCCAAACCAATGGTTCACATTGACTCCAGGATCCTAAGAAAACAAGTGGGATATGAACAAATTGTGGGTCACCAGCGACCATGAGACTGTATCTCTTAGCGTTGCTCCATTGTCTTGTGAATTAGACCTGTAGGTCAAAGTCTCGTGGAGTGGCCCCCTAAGAAACCACCTGCTTCGGTTTGGGTACCCGGGCAGTATCACAGCTCTCGCACAGATCAAATGAGATTTGTGTGGCGCATATGTATTAGGTGCCTCCTTGTACTAATAACTATATGTTAAAATAAGTAATAAATAAATTACACCAGGAACCATACAAACAATACTCAATATAAAATTCAATGGTTTCTTTAGTATAAAAATGCAATCATAATCTACTGATAATTTATTTGACTTCAATGAAACTTCTTGTCATTTCAGGCACTGGCACTTACCTCTGCTGGATTGTTGTTTGTTTTATCACGAGATCGTGACCCGAATATATTAGATGTTGACTCCTTGGCTATTATATTGAAATTATTCTCTGCACCCGATAGTAAGTTGTTGCACGTATTGGTAAAATTTTTCAAATTATTACAACTGATGTTATTGCATAATGTTTAGAGCTAATTTATGCTTAAACTATGGTAAAAAGTACTTACTTACAAACTCAGATGTTTATTCAGTGTGTGAACTAGTCTCCAAATGCCATGGTACGGTTGAGAATGGGAAGAGTCAGATCTCGAAATAATCTCACATAGCCACACCCACTGCAGGGAAGTCCTATTCAAGGCCTCGCGACGATGCAGTGTTGTCCACAAAACTGAGACGACGAAAAGCGAATATCCAGCGCCTTAATCGGGTTTTTGCGGATATGGAGAATCCATCTAGAGAGGTTGAAAACCCTCATTCCAAACCAATGGTTCACATGGACTCCAGGACCCTAAGAAAACAAATGGCGTATGAACCAGTTGTGGGTCACCGGCGGCCATGAGACTGTTTCTCTTAACGTTGCACCTGCTGTGGTTTGGGAACCCAGATAGTATTCCAGACCTGACACATCTAATATGTATTTGGTGCCCCCTTGTACCAATGTTTATATGTTTAGCTAATAATAACTACTAGTACTATCCGATTCCTTAACCCATCAGGAGTTTAACAAAGTTTTAAACACAACCTAACACTAATGATAGCCAATTGCTTTGTCATTAAACTATCATTCCACTATGAATAAAAATCCACACTCATGATTTCTAGTTACATAGTTAGAGTTTGTGGATTAGGCTTTTGGTCTCACTAAATGATTGCATATTATTAAATTTGATTTCGTAACTGATTAGTAATTGTTTAGTATTGTAGTATTTTCTTGTCTTTTTACGATAATTTTTTGTGTGTAAACTAGGAATGAACTGTAGAATCTTACGAATAAACTGACCTAGAATCTCAATCGTTTCTTTTCATTTTGAGTTCACGTTTATAAAGTGTTCACAAGTTTAAAGACTTGAAAGTATTCTGATGTTTGATGTGTTTTTTTTTTTTCAGCCAATACAAATGGCAGTACCGGTGGTGGTCATTGTGAAATCAGTAAAAATAAAGAAGCTGAACGTGTACGTATGCGTGTTCGTCAACTACTCGACGGTTTACATCAAAATAATTCCAAGAGTTTAACACCAATATCTTCAACTTGCCCAGATGTTGTTGTAGGCAACAATTCAAACACGATCGCTTCTTCCAATCAATCACTATTCTCTAGTGGAAAGCGTTCAATCCTTCCACCTGGATCTAAAACACCTACAAATTCAAGTTTAAACACTCGACATTTACAGATCACCCGTCAGTTGACAGTAAGTATTTATAAATTTGTTTCTATTTTGACATATGTACAGTTCAGAACTGGTAAAATTGGCTTGCTAGTTTAATCATTTATCATCTGGTAAAGGTAATAAGTTTAACAAATAGAGTTTAGTTATGTACACTAGAAGCTTCATATATTTGTATGCTTCGCATAAACGTAATGGTTATATGATTCTTTATGTGTATGAAGTTATAATCAAGTTAGGTAACCAACTACTGAGTTACATATACAGTTAAATATGTGAAATGACAAACCCAATCACTAGTCATTAATTTATGGCTAACTTGAGTTTCATTTATTACATGGTCACTATCGCTTTCTAAAAACAAGTCATTTCCATACTTTAAGGCTTCACTATTCAAAGAGTAATTTTTAAAATATCAGTATCAGTTACAATTTTTACGATCTCGTTCCTACTATCTACATTTTTTTTAATAATAAAATTTTCAGACCTCAGATTTAGTTATTGAATCTATTTTAAACTTTGGCACTCGTAAAGCAGGAGATTGGTTCAAAGTAGAACTTCGTAATGGTGGTGGATTAGATAAAGTTGCTGATGCAGCTTCAGACGCTGTTGATTATTTGGCAGATTTAGACCCAAACAATACGTCTCGTAAACCAACAACTGTTTGGCGTTCTAGGACTAACTTAACAGGAATTGATAACTTCGCTTTGGATAGACTTAAACGAGTTTGCCATTATACCCGATTATTAGAAAATGTAAGTTTTTATCTGTTTGGTTTCGTGTAGATGTGAGGAGTGTGAACATTTTTTTTCATTTTCATTAAAGTATTTCTAACACATCATTTGTATAAATTGTCAATAAATCTATTTTAATATCTTGCAGTATAGAGTATAATTGCCCGTGTATTACAAAACTTGTTTGAACACATAAATATTGGTACAATGGGGCACTGAATACGCATACGCCACATAAACCATTTGATTTGTGTTAGAACTGTGATACTGCCGGGGGGCCACACCCGGAGCTTTAGACCCAAAGGTCTGATCCACAAGGCAGTGGAGCAACGTCAGTAGATGGAGTCCCATGGTAGCCGGTGACCAACGATTTGTTCATACGCCTTTTTTTTCTCAGGATCCCGGAGTCCATGTGAACCATTGGTTTGGAATGAGTGTTTTTGAACTCCCCTAGATAGATCTTCCGTATCCACCAATTTGGGTAAGGCACCGAACATTCGCTTTTCGTCCTTTCATTTTCGTAAACAACAGTAACGCCACGAGAAGACAGGGAGTAGGACTTCCTTGGTAGTGGGTGTATACGCTTGATCATGTGAGAGCATTTGGAGAGGGGGGCGGACTTTCCCCAGCCGCAGTCATACTAGGGCATTTGACATTAAATTGTGTTTCAGTAGTTTAACAACTAAAGTTCCAATCAGTGAACCCCTACTTCGTATTGAAATACATGTTTTTCTGTTTGAGCTAACGTGTACTGTTCTTGAAACCTCTCACATTAAATGTGTTTCAGTTCTTGGTGAGCGAACCTGAATAAGTGTGTTTGTAGAATTATCTGATTTCTGTAATTTGTCCAGCTCGGACTAAAAAAATTTTTACGTTTGAATATAAATAACCTCATTTGTAAGTTAGTGAATCCTGACAGACTGAGTCGGTTGGAACATGTATTACGTATATCCAACCACTGTCTACCTTGATGAGTGATGTTGTCTGGTGTAGCAGTAAGCTGTATGAAAGCTAGGGGCCGCCAAACTAAAACATGGCATCAGTTGATGAAGTCATTGACATTTGGACTAAGTCATGTTATTAGGTGCAAAATACCTGGTTCAGGTACTCCTAATCACCATAACCAATGATTAAAGACTTAGAATAACATAGCTTAGGTGTATTCATTTTTTGTCTTCCCTTAAGTCCTAAAATTTCTGAATTCCTCGTGGGTTTTTCCTTCGCTATTTCATTAATTTATATTTTCTCAAATTGTATCTTCTATGTCTAATTTTTTCTATTACCACCATGTTGTGGATACAGAATAATATGCCAATCATTGTCATGTTAAGTCTATGGTGGCCTTGGACTTGAAATGTACATTCCCTATTGGCTATTATTTGATTCATTCGTTACATATTGTGTAAATGTTGTTTACTATTTTTATGGTACGATATGGTTTGCTTGTTTGGTATATAAATAGAGCATGTCTGAAATACAATGATTCATGTCTCCGAGGCTGTGACTTGTGTTCTGGACTCAACTGACTGGGCTAGACAGGGAAGTGAAACCAATCGAGACTCTAGGCCGTCCGTACGTGTTTACGTGTCATTGAATCGATCGATAAGTACGCTGCTCTCTAATTTTCCAGTCAAGGACACAACAATTAGCACAGGGTAAAAGTCGGCCGCAACTTAAAGTCATAACACACCAATACTGTTACTGCTTGTACTACTATGATATCTAACCTATCAATTTCATTTCTCTATATGTCAACTTGAACTGATACACAGATGTTCTAATTTCTATGTTGTGTTCAATTGATTATTGAAAGAAAGTTGATCTTCTTTAAGAAATTCTTTTAACAAACTCTACCAACCAATACATTTTCACAATTGTTTGTTGAGTTCTAAGGTGCAATCCGGTGTTCATCTTGTTGTGTTAATGACGTATGGCAACTTGGATCGATGCATATATATCCCTGGTCCTAGGTTGTAGCTAACTGACTGACTGACTGACTGATATAGATGATTTTATCAGTCTATGTTACTAGTAGTTACACAAGCGAAATCATTATCACATGCCTAACATGGTAGATTGTTGCTCAATAATTAGTACAAACTATTCACATAGTTTTATGTGTATACAATGTAGTTTGAGTATATATATATATATATTTAGTTCTTCTGATTATCATTTTTCCCCCTTCAATTTATTTCTTTTTGTGTTTAGATGACTTACATGAACTCAGATAATCAAACATATTTGGTACATTATCGTGATGGAGTTCTTGTGAAACGTTTGTTGACCTGTTTACGAGTTTGTGTATCTCACTTACCTAAATCATCAACTCAACAAGCAAACTCTAATTCTACTACTACTACTAATAATAATAATAATGTTTCTATGGAAAAATCTACTGTAAATAGTATCAGTGTTTTGTCGAATTCAAATAATTCTGCATATGATAGTCAAACTATTTTAACCGATTGCATTTTAGGTATATTTCGATTTTTAGTAAATGTTTCACATAATGGTAAGTTATAATTTCTTATTGTCGATTCAAATTGTTTGTGATTACTTTTCCCTTATTAATATTGAATGTGAGCATATTTTATTGATAGAGTAGTTAGTCAGTCAGTCAGCAGCAACAACAACGTAGAACTTCGTACGTACGTAAATCAGTTCGAGTTTCCATACCACATTAGATCGATAGCGTAGAGTATACAGTGAATTTCATATAGTCTTCAATCTTGTCCAATACCATACTGATCAGTAAATATATATGAAGTTTTATTTGTATATCAGATCTATGTTGGTAGATGTAGACCTAATTGGTTGTAATCCGTCCGATCAGTCGTTGAAAATATTTAAAGATTCCGAGTCCGTCTTCAGAGAGAAAGTGCATCCAATTTTTATCTTTCTTTCAATTTTGAGTTTCTGATTTCTTTCATAATATACCTTTACATTTTATATTTCCGAACCATATTCTCATTATGCTTGATCTATCTCATTATATTTCCTGCTACATTTCAACTCCTTCATTACTCATCTTGTCAATTTCATCTTGATCCAATGCATGTGTGTCAAACTCTGTGTTGATTATGACTGATTAGACTGTATATCAGATATATATTGGAAAATTTCACGGAAATAAATCTTTTAAAATAACTGCTATACATAACTTTCTAATATATATCTTCTTTGAATAGACTTATCATTATTTATCGCCATGACTAATTGTAAAATAGTAAGCATTTTTGAGCTTTTATTAACTATGATGTACCATTAAGGGTATACCTTCATAATCCTCTTTTCAGTATCAGTAACTTCTTCCACAAATTTATGACATTGACAATTGGACTGAGCCGTGTTGGTAGGTGTAGACTACCTGGTTTGGATCCGTGAGACGATTGCAACCGATAGTTAGAAACCTTGAGTAACATAGCTCAAAATCGTTTGCAATGGTGCGGGTGCATCTACTCTTTATGTCCTCTCAAATTCTAATCTTCTGAATTCTCCTTGTCTCTTTTTTTTTCTCTTTCCAAATTTATTTCACTGGATTATACTCCTTGAATAACATAATCAGACTCTAATCTTTCCGATTATTGCTTATGCTTTTACTACCTCTACCACTGTGGGATTTGAATCGATAATTTTATCTCTGTGCTAATAGGGTATGGCAACTCGAATTGATGTACGTACGTACGAAGTTCTACGTTGTTGCTGACTGACAGCCGTTTTCGGGTCAGCTGATTAAAATCTATGTAATTGTTTAATTCCATTTTTACCATGCATTCCCTTCTTATGTAGTTAAGATTTTTAGTATTTCTCTAAAGGCTTTTTTTATATAGTCTAATGCGAATTCTAAACCTTCGTGGAAATAACTGATTTAAAATACATTCTAGTTGTGTAATGTTGTCTGATATTTCCCTGACCTATCCTTCTTTTTTTTATTTTCATAGAATTCGCCAGTGAACGTCTTGGTGCTTGTTCAGGTTTTCTAGAAACTATTTTTGATTGCTTACTCAAGTTGCCTGATCGTTTGCCTGGAACAAAAAGATTTGATGTGATTGTCTTAGTGCTCTGTCTTTTGGTAAATATGTGTGAACATTGCCCTGAAAATCGCACTCGAATTGTATATCTGGATATTACAAAATCATGTCTTAAACAAGGCTCTCCAAAAAATTTGAAAGATGTCAAATATATCGATACATACGATGATGAAGAGGAAGATGATGATGATGATGATGATGACGTAAATGCAAATACAAATACTTCACGACAAGTTGTAACCACTTCTGCACTTGACGAACTCATACAAGTGAGTAATAAGTCTTTTTGTTGAAGGCTTAGATCGATCCTATTTTTGACACTAACTTATTTACATTTATTGATCACTAGGCACATGGGTACATTGAAAGAGAAATTCAACCAAAACAATACTGTTGTTAAGTGACATTGTGCCTGCTTAACCGTCATATCATGTTTTTTTCATTATAATTTATCTAGATAGGTGACCATTAAGTCTCTATAATCATTCATAATTTTAAAAACTCTCATGACATTGTTTATTTTACAGATTTCATCGTACATTATGTAATCTAGACAATTCATCCTGTGGATTTAACCATACCGGACAGATTGAAAGATAATTTTATTAACAAGGACCTCTTATCATAGTTTGAAAAGGGTAAACTAGAATCAACACACCACTCCGTGTTTTCATAGTCGGCAATGTTGTAGATATAAAATTAACGTATTCAAAGTCACTTATGTACTTCTTAATTTCCCAATAGATTTCAAATTTATCTCCTATGCATTATGTACACTACGGAAATCCGATTTATAATTCATAGATTTTGTATTCAGAATAAATTTATCATGTCACAATCATTTATTAGTATTTGACTGAGATCATCAACCGATTGATGCTAGACCACCGTTGAAAACCTGGAAGCACTGGACGGTCGTTTCGTCCTATTCTGGGACTCCTCAACAGTGCGCATCCACGATCCCGCCCTCCGCGAGATTCGAACCCAGGGCCTTCAGTCATGCGCGCGAACGCTTAACCTACTGGAACACTGAACCAGTGTCCAATGGTGTTAGTGTCTAACATCAACCAATCCACGAAATTGCACGACCATCTTCCATTGTATTGAGGTGGATACTTGTCTCTACCCGACACGGATTAGCCCTACTGGTCACGGTTTCTTACTAGAACTCCGAGAATTCCCTCGCGAAGCTAGTCACTATTAGTAAACGGTTTTCGCTAAATTTTCTTTTACTTCATGTTCTATTTCTTTTATTTTCTCTTCATCTCTTTCAAATTTCCACTTCACTACTTTGACTATATCGTACAATTTGTCCCTTAGTTTTATTTCATTATTAATGACTATTATTTAGACCGGTTACTTTTTTTGTTTATTTTACGTTATCATTCTGTCTTGATTATCCTTATTTTTATTTCATTTTGTTTATTTATTTAAACACACAAACATTGGTACAAGGAGGCACCAAATAGATATGAGCCACACTTTGTCATTCAATTTGTGTAAGGGTTGGAATACTATCCAGGTGGTTTTCTTAGGGGGCTACGCCTGGAGCCTTTGACCCAGAGGTTTGATCCACAAGGCAATGGAGCACCGTCAGGAGTTTCAGTCATATGGTAGCCGGTGACCAACATTAGGTTCATACACCATTCACTTCCTTTGGATCCTGGAGTCCATGTGAACCATTGGTTCGTAATGAGAGTTTTCCGACTACCCTAGATGGGTCCTCCATATCCACCAATTCGGGTAAGGCACCGGACATTCGCTTTTTGTCGTCTCAATTTTGTGAACAACACTCCGTCTTCAGCAGAAGGCAGTGAGTAGGACTTCTCTGATAGTGGCTGTATACGCGTGGTCATGTCCTCACTCTAGACCGTATCACGGCATTTAGGAACATTCTTACCACTATTTCTATTCCTAAGCCTGTCCTGTTAATATCAATATTTACTTACTGATTTAATTAGTTGTGTAGTGTACATTACTACGATTATTGACGCACAAATTACTTTGGTTGCTTCCTGTTTTCATGTGTGCATATGAATGTAACTGTATGTTAGAGTCAGTTCTGATGTGACTATATTTTTCCCTTTCGTGTCGTGTTCCTTTCATCCCATACGGGTTGGCTTTGTGGTTAAATAATTCGATTGGTAGGTCACAGGTTTGAAATCCCTCTCCATGTACGTCGGTTTGAACAAATAGTTAGTATTACTAATTCCATGAAATTACTGTGACTCAAAGCTGACCATATAAATTTCGCTCGGTAAATGAGTTACTTACGCCTGTTACTCCTCGTGAAGCATAGGTTCCCGATCAAGATTCTCCACCTTACTCTGTTCTGGGCTCTGCTTTCAAATTGTTCCCGATTACTATTTATTATTTTGATGTGTGCCTCCGATTCTCCGCGCAATGTGTTCGTTGGTCTACCTCTTTTCCTTTTGCCTTCAGGATTCCAAGTATGAGCCTACCTTGCTATACGTTTTCGCAATTTCCGTAAAATGTAATATTTTTACCTCCACCATCTTTTCTTTATTCCCTCTTCAACTGGAAGCTGATTTATTCTCCACCACATTAGATTGTTATTTATGGTGTCCGGACAACCGATTTGAAGTATCTTTCGTAGACAGCTGTTTATAAATGCCCATATATTTTTGATGATGAGTTGCATCGTCATTATTGTTTTTTCTTCGTCAAATATCTTTCCTACTTGTACATTCTTCTCCATTGTAGCTATTTCTCACTCGAGAAGAATGCGCACGTAACCATGATTTCGAGAGAGATGACGATGAAGCTATGGCAGCTGCAGCGGCCCGTAAACGTTCTGAGGAATTAGAAGATTTTGAAAATAATTCTAAACAATTACGTCCAGGTTACCCTAACCCTACTGTCGAAGAAGCTGGCTTGAAGTGGCGTTTAATAGAGGATCGAAGAGCAATGAATCTGAATAATAGAGGATTTTTGGGTAATTATCAGTTACTTCTTTGTAGTTTAGCAATAAATATTAGCATCCTGTTCATGATTTTAGAGCCTTAAAACCATGAGTCCTTTGCTTTCCAAACCATGCTCCAAGGCTTAGCCTTTTTATCATCAGTACTATATCATTTCTATCTCTTCTTATTCACATTTCGAGCTAATGAGGTACAGTAAGTTAGGTCAACGTGTATCCGCATCAGGCTCCATGTTTATCACGTCTATCTGTTTATCTATCAGATACTAATCCACTCAATTTTACCACCTGAATTACAAACCTAGGCTGATGTATATAAGTACCATGTTGCAGCAATCAGGAGTGGAGTGCCTGCCAACAGAACACTGAAATGAAGAGGACAAGAAGGAAATCGAAATAACTGAATTGGATGAATGATGAAGTATGTATAGGACAACTGATGGATGATGTGCAAATAATATATTTAATGTATGATTTTGCATGAAAAATAAGTTGGTTTTACCCACTTGCATAACAACTACAGCAGTACAGTCAAGTACGAAACCGCCATATGCACGCTCCTATTTAGGTGAATACATACTATTGGCTTTTTTTTCTAGATCACATAACATAAATTTGTCTAGGCACATACCTACTTTCAATTCAATTGTATTAAACTCTATGGTATATCATATTTCAGTCAATTTACAAAGATCTGTATAACAAATTCATATTAGTTTACACATTTTTACTCGCTTTATATAGCCTTGTTTATTACTTACACAACTCAGCATTCAATGAAATAACTCTAAAGTATTTTATTCTGTCATACATTCTCTGCCTACACTAATCTTATGGTGCTTTCACAACCGGTATATGCATCACTTATATTGCCTTATTTCCAACACAAAATATTTAACAAACGCTTAACTACTTAACGATAAGTATCATCAAATAGTAATACTCGACTAAAACTACATTGTATATTTGTAAGTATTTTTTTCGTGATATTGTTCAATAATCATTACAATCATGATATCTGTACGAAATATTTCATGAAATGTCTAATGTAGTCATAGAAAACTTCCTATCAGTGCTTTTTGTGCTTGTTTGGATAGCATCAGTCCAACTCCCTGTGTATGTTGAGCATTTTTTCTTCATGGCCGGAGTATAACAGCAGCTCCCCTGAAGCTAGTCTTTGTTGTCCAACCTGCGTCTAATGTGTTTCACTGATTCCAATCACCTCCAGGTTGTATCTTTTAATTTCTGCAGCAACTTGAATGACTCTCCCGGTCTCCTACATTGTACGGATATTCCATGTACCTAAATTAATGGTTGCTCTGGTTGTCAGAATGGGCATCGGCCTCGTGACTTCCGAAGGAACACGGCTTTCATCATGAGACATCATAATATTTCTAAATGAAAACCTAACTCCCAGGACAGAGTTTAGATAGTTTGAATTATTTTTTCTGGTGAACGTTTCTTTAGTGAGTTGGTTTTCTACGGGATGGGGTCTCTAACCTCATGTCCAACCATCCTCCTTTATCCGGGCTTGGGACCGGTAGTAGCCCCAGAGGGGCTCCAGGTGGAGTTCATAGAAAACCTACATGTATATAAAACTGTAAGATATATGGTGTTTATACAAGTTATCTATAGTCTATTTAAGAGAAAATTCTAATTAATATTATTTTCTGAAGATGTTTGTAGTTCATTTTTATTATTGATATTCAACCATATAGGGAAACTTTATTTCTCGAATGATAATAATAATTCATGGTTTGGTACTTCGGGTCGTAAACAGCTTTCCGAACAAATTTCATGCAATTGAATTCGCTTTCATTTTTTACATCGTGTAGTTCTTTTGTTTTTTCAATAGGTCGGAATAAGAAACGATTGAACCGTAAACAAAAGTGTAAAAGTAGTGTAAATAAACAACGACAGAATATGGGAGGTTTCAATGATGACGAGGAAGATTCCGATGATGTAGATGACCTAGATGACAATGATGGTGACGATGATTGCATTGAAGATGATGATTTGGAGGAGAATGATGAAGGTGATGACGATGGTGATGATGATGACGACGACGACGATGATGAAAGTGTTGGCAGTGGTGCAGATGTTGAATTTGTCGCCGATACCCAAGAGGAACAAGAAAAGTTAGCCAAAAGTATGTCTCAAGCTCAACAACATATGGAAGATTCAGTGGTGGCTGCTTATGCTGGTAAGGTTAAGAAATATTTGTTTCAAAATTATTTACCGTTTTCCTCACGTTTATAAGGAAGTGTTTCAAACAAAGCTAATCGCAACTCTAACATTCATTATCATTATGCTATCGGGGTATGAAAGAATGCTGCAAAGGGCTGGCTTGTGTTGGTCCTTCACGATTCCCTGGTTTGCGTCCGAGAGATGGTGCTACACAGTAGCTAGAGACGTTATCAGATATGACTCAGAATAGAAGGCAGTGGCGATCCTGCTGTAACCTTCTTTTACATTCTTCATAAAAGTGGTTGTATCTTCCTTAACTGAAAGATTTCTTCTGGTTGTGCCTTTCCGTTTCCCCTATTATTATTAGTATTATTGTAAAACTTATTATTACCTTACACTAATCTGATCGTTATTGTTCTTTTTTTATTTTACGCTCCTAACCTTCTTTTTCCCCCATTCTCATTGTTTTGTGTGGCGCATATATATTTGGTGCCCTCTTGTACCAATATTTATGTGTTCAAATAAATAAATAAACATTATGCTGTGTATTATGTACACTGATTGTAAGAGTTGTTCCTTGTAAACGAACCTATAACCTAATTGATCCGGAATTTTTTGTTTTCAAATTCCAATGTACAATATTACTTAATTGTCTATTTAGCATTCACTATATTTATTTACGATTAACAAACTTATTCACCATCATTACAATTGTTATGTTCTGTCGCGCTACACTACTACTTCAACCGATGCACATTTGTTCCAAGTCTATAATATTGTTTATGGTTAACTGTAGCTGTCCTCTAATCAATTGTGTTTTGTTCTCATTTTATTTATTTATTTATTTGAACACATAAATATTGACACAAGGAAGCACCCGATATATATGTGTCACACAAAACAATGAGAATGGGAAGCGAAAAAAATGTTAGGTGCGTATAAGAAAAAAAAGAACGAACAATAACGGCCACAGATTAGTGTATGGTAATGTAATATTCATAATAATAATAATAATGGGGGAAACGGAAAGGTACAACCAGAGGAATTCTTTCAGTTAAGAAAGTTACAACCACTGTTTATGAAGAAAGTAAAAGAAGGTTACAGCAGGATTCCCACTGCCTTCTATTCTCAGCCATATCTGATAACGTCTCTAGCCACTGTGTAGCACCATCTCTCGGACGCCAACCAGGGAATCGTGAAGGACCAACACAAGCCAGTCCTTTGCAGCATTCTTTCATGCCACGACACCATGTCATATACTGACCACATCTCCGCTTTTTCCAACCAGTCCCAGAGTCGGCAAATAATGCACGACGCGGAATTCTCTGGGAAAATATTCGTAGAACATGTTCAAGCCACCGAAGTTGGTGTTTCAAGATAGTGACGGCAATTGAATTATCGTCTCTGTGCCCGAACACACGATGCCGAACCTGTGCATTACCGACACGGTGGTGCCACTGGATGTCAGCAATCCTTCGGAGACAACGATGATCAAACTCGAAGACAATATTGTTACGTAGAGAGAGCTTAGAGAATATTAGAATTTCTTATTTTTACTTAAAGCTGCATACTTATTAGACAGTTTAAATGTTTTGTGTTTTTTTTCTCTTTAAATTTATTCAGCTCTCCTACTTGGCTGTATTCTACAATCAAGTCCTCGTTACACTGATCGTATTAGATCCAAATTACCAGATGGACAATTTCGTCCATTAGCAATTATGTTAGCTAAACTACTCAGCTTTTTATCTTTAACTAAAGGTGTAGGATCATCAGGTTCTGAGTCTATTCTACGTATTGTCAGAATTTTAGAAGCACAAGATAAACAAAATACAAAATTATCAACATCTAATGATTGTGGTGACAGTTAATATTAAATAAATACTGTTCCTTTGCTTCATTTTGATATTCCTTTGTTTTTTGTCTGTGTTTACCATGTTCTCTTTTTTTTTCTTGTATTACTTTATCTCTTGTACGTTGTCGGCGTCGTTGTCCTTGTTATCACTATCATTGTTGAGTAATGTATGAGTGTGTGTACATGCATACATACAGTTAGATAAATGTAGAAGTGTGTGTGTGTATGTGCATGTATTTTCAAATAATTTCTAGATTTATTGCACATAGTTTTGTTTGTTTGTTATTTTCTCTTTAACTTTTCATCGTCTCGTTTATCATATTTGTTTCGTTTTTTTTTTCTAATACCAATATACATTTGGTTTCTATCTTAGTAACAATTAATGATAATGAAATTCACATTTGACTCAATAATGATAATAATACAACTAAGGTTGTTCATCTTTGAATGTATCATTCATTTGAATTGATTTCAACAACAACAAAAAAAACACCTTTCTCTTATGTGTATAAATTGTAATACAAAATGAATAACAGTCAATTATTCAACTTTATTGTTTACTTTATTACCACATTATCTCTTTTGTCTTTTTATCTCTATTGAATGTTTCCTTTTTTTCTTTTCTTTTTCCTTTCCTTGTTTTTTCTTTTCTCTGTTTTTCTTTTACAAACTGATGTATATAATTATATAGTTCTTGTTTTTCCTATCTCTTCTTTTATATATATATATATATATATATATATATATATATATATATATATTCAATTGATTATATTTATCTTAATGTATTTGAATAGTATTTTCAATGATCTATTTCATTGCCTTCTTTCTTTCTTTTTTTAATGAAATAGAAAACAACAATAAATGATCTTTTGTAGTTGTTCTCTTTTCTTTTCTTTGTTGTTGTTTTCATTGCTGTTGTTGTTGTTACTATTATTATTGTTAGTATTAGTGTTGACAAGTTGTCATAGTGTCTCTTTTTTGTATATTCTTCTATGATTGATGATGGGAATATTATTGATCCTTTTCTTTTCTTTTTTTTTCTTGCCAAATGCCCCTTATAGTATTTTAAATCATTGTAGTAAGTTCCTTTAATTGCTTCCTTTTTCTTCTTTTCTCGTTTGCTTTTTTCCTTTTCGTTAGCTTGTTTGTTATTGTTTTATGAAGAATGATACATGATTTCTTCGATGTAATTTTCTTTGTTTGTTTGTTTGTTGCTATTCATTTTCTTTCCCGTTTGTACATGTATGACTTCGCTCGGGTATTTCTATATATAATAACATTAATTTATTTTGTAAAAATATTCCCCCTTTAAAATTTGTTTCCTAACAAAGTAATTAGTATACTCTATGATTGTTTACTTCTTTATTAATTTTATGTCTGTGAAACATAATTTATATAAAGTAGAAAACATGCTCAAACTATAACTATTTAATCATAAGTGTTTCCTGAAACTATTGAATAAGAATTATTGATGGTAGGCAAACATTCCAAATCAGTTAATCTCAGATGAGCCTTCGTCCATTGAGTAAGATAAGACAGATGTTACGTGTACCTAAATACTAGTCGCCTAGACGGGCAGTGGTAATTATCGTTGGAGTAGGTTAAGAGAAAGCTAGTCACCGTCAGTCTGTGAAATCATTGACAGTTAGACTGAACCCTGGCGGTAGATACAGTCGATCAGTGATTGGGTGACATGTATCAAGATCCTTAGAAATGGCACAGATGCATTGAGTTTCAGTACACTTTCATCCATACTTTTTGGTCCTATATTATCAAACCAGATCTTCAACATTTGGTTACTGCTTCCATTCATTTTTTAAATTTTATCCTGTGTTAATTTGATAGACCTGTTATCTCACGTACCCCACCATCTCTACGTAGGACAGTTAGCCCTAAAAATCGTTAGGGGCTCTTATTGACCTTGTAATTGTTGGTAGTAATCAATCAAGTAAATCCATAAACTTGCCCCCATCTTACTCTGGAATCCATACCATTCGATGATGTAACCAAGTATGTTACTCTCCAGTAATTTCTGTAAGATTATACTATTAACTATGATCATTGTCTGAGACAAACCGTAAGACCAAGCAATCTCTATACATCCCCCACTGTAATATTAAATATAATTTTGTGATTTCACTGAAATTCGATAATATTTCATATAGTAAGTGATCTACTTTATGAACTTCCCTTAATCATTCATTTAAATTAACAAGAGTAACTCCTGTTAAGTTAAAGACTTTTAAATGTTCAATGTCATCATCTAGAACTGACTCAACCAATCTAACATAATTTAGGGAACATCATTTTAGGGAAAAACTAAAAATATATCTATGTTAGTAAATTATACTCTAGTAGACTCGCTCGAGTTGCATGAATCGAATTCGTCCAACAATTGTCTGTTGATTGGAAGAATCTACTTTATTTACATCAATTCAAAATGTCTATTTTTAGTTGAAATTATATATATAACTCGATTCAAATGATCACTCAACGTTTGTAATGACTAATATGGACAATTTTTTTCGTACTCGATACTAAACGTTGATAGCTTATATTGTAAACAACACATGTAGGATAGTATATGAATTGGTCCAGCCTGAAACGTTAGGGTTTAAAGAACGCTTAAAACCCATTGTCTCGTGTCGGAACACAATTACGAGAACATATTTCCGAATTTTCAGGCCTCGAGCTAGCTATAAGCTATATTTTTATGTAAAGCTGAAAGTTTCATATGAGACTGGAGGTTCGTTATTGATATTATGGATGGTTCAGCATTACTTTGGGAAGTTTTGTTCAATGAAATCCACGACGCGCGTTTTGTCCTATTTAGGACTCTTCAGCAGGATGTACTTGCACTGCTAGTCACTATCCATCTTAGCTTATAGAAAATTACTTAGTTACATCATTTTTATGATACTTCAAACCCTTAAACAAATACACCTATTTTTCTCATTGTTAATTTTCTTAATAAATCTCAACTTAAAATTGAATAATAATAATGCCTAGTTTATCATCGAAAATTACAACGGTTGTTATAGCAACTTAATACAAAATCAAATGTAATGAATGACAATTTAGAAATAATAAAGACCGGAAATTTCAATAAACAAAATTATATATAACAACTAGAAACAAAATAAAACTTAATAATTTCTATATTTCAATTGACGAATAAATTATAATTCAAGAAATATAGAAAAGAGGATGACTAAACCAGTAGAACATATTATCATATTACATACACCAGAGTAATCCATATAGCATGAGCACATACTTATGGATATTCGAGCAATTTCAGTAGTTTATATCATAATGATTCAACTCAAGATAAACCATCATCGAAAACCATGAAGGACTACCTGACAGTTTCATCCTAGTATTGGATTACTCAGTAGTGCACATCCACGCGATTGTGGATGCGGATTCCCACAATAGTACAAAACGGCCGTCCAGTGCTTCCATGTTTTGCATAGTGGTCTAGCTTCAATTGACTCATGATCTTAACTATATTCAATATAGATTAATTTTGTAAGAATAAATAGAGATTTTATTGGAAACATTTTTATACTTGAGTAAGATTATTGTACTTTTTTAATATGTGATAATGAAGAATTATTGTATGTGTTGTAGGGCCAATGAAATGTCACTGAGCCCTAGCCAAATCATCCGGCAGTTGGCTCACTGAATATCGAGCCCATCATCGATGCCTGTCAAGGTCGAGGATAACCAACGCTCACCAGTTAGTCGTATGCCATGGGATGGCCCATGCGGCAGTGGTCTTACCTTCGCTTCTATCTACTTTAACTAATATATTTCTGTGATAACGTCCTCTGTGTTGTACAGTCTTCAAAGCATCTATAGTACCTTGATACGTCAATGGGGTAATCCACGTAAGGTGCTGACGGCGAGGTGTGACTTCGACGTTAGCTGGTTCGTCACATCATTCTCATCCGTCTAACTCGAGTAGGCCTCCAATCGTTCGACATAGATCATGTATGTTGGTGATCTACAGTGTAATTGATTTTCTGAATTAATATGAACTAAAACTGAATGATTTTCTAGTCATAGTAACTGAGTTATTGACTTAATCCCCCTTTAGGTGATTAGATATCACACAGTTCTTACTAATGAGAAAATGAAATGCTCATTGGAAAAATATTCAATGTGGAAATTCAGTTGTTAAATTTCTACGCAATAACAAAATCACCAATACAGATACGGATATTACGACAGAAAACTAATGCGCGTCTCGTCCAATTTGTGACGATGTTCTCAATCACGATCAGATAGATAATGTCAAATAACATAATCACATCTATTAACCCTACTGTTCTCAAAACAACAACAACAACAAGTGACCACTGATTTACGACGACGATCCTGTTCATGATGATGATGATGACGAAGTTTATTTCTGTAATCTGTTTCGTTGCTACCACTGACTGACTGTCACATCATCCGAACCGTATTCATCAATTACCTACACTTTCTCTTTCTCTCTCTCTCTCCCTCTCACACACTCATTCTCTCTCTCTCTCTCTCTCGACATGCGTATATTCACGCATCGTGATCAAGCAGTAAATAAATACCTGACCATTTCACCAACACTTCACTGATCAACACACACACGCAAATCGCACCACACAAAACCACACCACACCACACTTGCATACTTAGAGAAAACGGATAGAATGTTGCAGTAATTGATTAGGTTGTTTATTTATCAGAAATGTCTTAACACAATTGCGTGTGGATTTTTATCGATAGATTATGTACACACATGTATGAATGGTACGAGTTGGTCGGAGAGCTGTTCAAACATTGTTCGAATATTTTTGAAATATTGTTCAAATATTGGAGCGTACAAAATCCAACATTCTAGCCACACTGGCATACTCGACAATGATATCGGGAAGGTTTGGCAGTGTGACACCATGTGATACGACACCGAGTACTGGACCTTGAGGGGATGGAAGGAGAGGTCCACCACTGTCACCTGGAGCGGGTAACTGTCCGAA